AAGGAAATTGTCGAAGGCTGCCAAGAACTAGAGCGGAGCCGCTGGACGCCTGCCTGGCAGCCCCGGCAGCTTCTGCACTGGGCTCCTTCTGCACCGGGGCCGTGCACACACCTGCACCTTGGCACGGACCCCCTCCGTGCTGCTCAGCACCGGGACACAAAAGCGTTCCTGCGGGAAGAGACCACCCACCCGCCGTCGGGATTCACTGCAGTGCGAGGGAACGGGGCGGCCTGGAGCACCTGGCTGTGAGCGACTCCTTAGCACTGCAAAGCCAAGAAGGATCTTGCTGGTCTCCAGGGCTTGGTTCAAACCGGGTAAGTCTCCTCCATAAATTTTAATCCACCTCAAATCCAGCCTTCAGCAACCAGAGTCACCGGGACCAAACCCAGCTAGCAGTTTTCTATGGAAGCAGTAAAACATCCGCACTCTGCTCCACATCCAAGGACCCCAAGTCTTTGCTCTCTACCCATCCGGGACCAAGCAACAAGAGCAGCAGAATATCCGGACACTGCAGCAGAGCAAACGTGTCCCAGTGTGCAGAACATCTGGCAACTTGGAAGGTGGTTCAGTAAAAACACTGCCGGCCACATGGGTTTCCCACTGTATTTTTCCCCCCTAAGCACACGCACGGATTTCTCTGTTACAGACCCGGCCACTGAAGATCTCCCGAGGCTGTGGGTAGCTCCAGAGCTGCTTTGTAAGAGGCTGAACATGTTTCTGTGTTTGTTTTCATACCGATTTCACTCTTCATAAGGATTTCACACACTTCCCAGTAACAATTTTTCTTGGACACAGAATTAAGCCGCATCATCCTGGTCAGTCTGGCACAGCTTCCGTTCATCAGTGGTGAAACTCTTAATGCTGGATAACGAGTAAGAAAGGAGGAGATGGCACCATCCAGCAATCCTTGGCTGGGCCACATGCCCAAGGCCACTTTGTGAGATGTCACCTACTCTGCAAATTAAGGGTTTCAAAGAAACTCAAGCAGTCTCTGCTGAGATTTCAAATAGAAACTGAGAAATTTGATCCAAAAACACAAAAACTCCTGTGAAATGCCCCGAGAGCAGCAGTCAGAGGGAGAAACGCTGAATAATGCACGGCTGCATGTATTTGTAAACAGATCTCCTGGGGGTAAAGCATTTTCAAGCTTGCCTTGTCTTGCTTTCCAGACAGACTTCAATTTCTAGCCATCCCACTTCCTCTTCCTAATCACCAAGTAGCAGTATAACATCTGTTTACCAAAAAACACGGTTTTCTGTAGGATGAAGCGAGAGCTACAGGGATTGTGCAGGGAGAAGCACATATGTTTATCAGCTCTGCTGCTTCCTCAGCAGAAGCAGAGAGGGTCTGTCCCTGTGAAGTCGGATCAGCGTTTTCCAGCGGGCGCCCCCGCACTCCAGCGAGCCGGGGAGGAAAGCTCTTCCCAAACAGCCAAGCTCGGTTCAGCTGGCACCGAGCTCTGCTCTTCTGCATAAATTGTGCGTTTGCTCTTAAATGTCAATCTGCGCGTTCACACATGGCGTTTGGGACATCTGAAC